AATTCACCAGAGTCTGATATTTTCTTTAAGAATTAAGATAACAACAATTAAAGAGGAATAGTGAATATAGGGAACCCCAATAAAATTTGAAGTACAACTATGTTGGTTTTGGCTTTGTTTACATCACAGCAGTGATGTCAAAATTCCACTTTTCATACAAATTTATACTGTGCAATACAAATACAATACAAACCCCAATATTTATATAATTATAATATTAAAGGGTTAACAGTGATGCATTATTTTGCTATAAAAGCTATCCCCCCAAAATATATGAAAAATATTTTATATATTGTGGAATTATTTCATAATTTTAGAATATGTATACTAGTTTAAGCACTGTATTTATACCTTTGATCTGACCACATCTTCCAGTTACTGTTGTCGGTCCAGCTTATTAACTTGTACTTACAGTCAGCAGCCCAAGTTCGTGATGTATATTTTATTGTTATGTACATATATGTAATAATATTGGTTAGACTTTGTATAAATAGTCACTCAGAAACATTCTGAAACATTCAAAGCATGATAAAATCTATTATATACAATTCACTTAAAATGCATTTTACAATTTAAAGATGAATAGCAGCCTCAAATGTTTTTACTTCTGAGGTATTCTAAGATATTTCTGTTATTCCCTGCCCCCTTTTTTTTTTTTTTCTCAATTTTATCTGGAATTTTAAGATCTCAGTGAGTCTACTGTAGCAGTCTTGGGAATTAGATAATAAAAGTCCTGCAACAGCCAAGCCATGTCATCAACAATTATTTTCCTGCAGCTTGATGCTCTTTTTGCCATTAAGATCATAGTGTTTCACATACATAAAACCATACTGACAATCATTCCTATACACTCCAACTTTTTTCTCCACTTTTTCTCCTTATGTAATACTCTTTGCCTTCAATCAGATATTCTATTGTTCCTTGGTGTTAAGTTCTTAAAAGGAGTATTAAAATTTTAAAAACCTTAAACACAGAAAGAACAAATCAGTTAGCTTTTGTCTAGTCAAAGGATATTGTAGTTGGATATACTTTAACAATCATGAATGTTTGGAGTCTATCTGTCACCACTTCTGGTTATTCATTTAATATTTGAGACTTAAAAGGAGAGAACATGGGGAGTATAAAGAACCTCTTTTTATTACTAAAACAGTTATATATAAGTATCCTCAAGACTATTCTACTCCCTGGTTTTGGTAAGTGTCATGTTACAAATTAAATCATGATAAGACAATTTGTCCATCCAGTGTAGCAGAGACCACACAAAACAAGAGTGCCTTTGAAACCCAGAATCTAAGAAGGGTTCCAGTGAGCAGTCTGGTAAATCTGGATAAACTCAAAAAGAATATTTCTCGCCACAAATTACTTTATTCATTATCATATTTTCTGTACCTGTGCAGGATATTTAAAGGCTCAAGATCTCACTTTTTAGTTTAACAGTGATTTTGCTTTTGTGTTTTCTGACAGAAACGTAATGAGTTTTATGAAAAAACGAATCCCATGTTGATTACATTTGTTTTGTTTGTAGCTTAATGAGACCGATGCTTAGACAAAATTGTTGACTCAAACATTAAAACTTGAAAGAATGAAACAAGTTGGGAGAGATAGTTGTACCTTTCTTTCCCCTGCAACATCATAAGTCCAAATAGTACTGCTCTGTGTATGAGTTAAATACTGCTAAAATTAAACAATGTATTCACACATGCTCAGATATAGACACATATTTACACTCACTGTTTAGAGAAATCAAACAAAACCAATATTCCATAAGCATTTCTTCATAAAACACAGTTAAAGTACTGTTATTGACTAAGCAATATGTATTTCATGCCAAAAAAGGAGAACTTTGAAGCACTTTAGCCTGCTGGTTACCTTAGAAAAGGTACTTAGTTCTATTAAATCAAAATCATTTGTGTCTTCTGTGCTCTTTTTCTTGGATCTCTCACAGTGCTTCCACAGAGTCTGTGTAAATTAAGAATGAACCAGCAAGGTCTGAATAAGATACATAACAGGAAGGGGAATATGCAAATTTTCTTTTCAGAAGAAAAGGCAGTTCTAATACAGAAATGTGATTTTGCTGTAAGCTTAAATTGACTATTAAAAGTTAACAGAGTTAAAGATAGCAAATTATATCTGCTAATATTTGTTGTTATTGTATAAAAGGTCAATTATCATGTGTTATTTTGTTTAAATGTGGAAAGATATCATCATACGAGGTCTATAGACTGTGTATGTTTAAACAGTTTTGTCATTTCTCTTTTGCAGCACACAATAAGATTATATCTGTGGAAGAATGGAAGAAGGACAATATTGCATTGGAAATGTTTTGGTAAACTTGTAGAAAAGGCCTGATTTTTTTTTTTTTTTTTTCTGTTTGAGTAATTTTTGATGTAATTCAACTTCTCAGAGAGTTATCATTAATACTTTAATCAAAATGCCCAAGAACTTCTCTGTGTTCATTGTTATCTATCCCTGACATGGATGTACTTGCACACTTTTGTAAATATAGTAAATTATACTAAGAAAATATCAGACTTCGCTTTACTGACCTCTCCTATTAGGAACTGGCCTTCGGTGTCCTAGATCTGTTACTGCATAGCAGAATGACTACCACAGCTGAATTTAATGAAAGACAGTCTTACCTTACCTACAAGGTTTCCTCTTTAATCTCATTTGGTTATTCTCAGCTATACTCAAATAAAAATGTTGTGCAAGTATAAGATCTGATTTGTAGTAAATTATTCAAATAATTATATGCAAACTTGCACTTATAAAGTTAGTAAAATGCATTTAATATTTAAAATATTGTATACATTTGACATACTTCAGTATCTCCTTTACAACTGCACTAGTACATTAATTCTGTGTTTGTATATATGGACATTTTAAATAATTTATTACTAGAAAAAAAGCAAAACAATCCAAGAAACCAAATCCATACACAGATTTCCATAATGAGCTCTATTTTTCAAGTACTCTGAAGACAAAAGGAACAGATCTCCAATCTATTCTAATTCTTGGCATAAATGTTTCTTTATTTGTAGCTCATTGACCTGACAGACTGGAAAGGCAATGGCTTCTACTTCTTTTGGTGTCTCACATCAATCTATCTCTAGGAAAATAGACAAAGGTTATACTTTGCTTCTGTAGAAAGAGTGGGATTATATCATATCCACTGTGTGCACTGTTGCTGAATGTGTTGTTCATAAATGTCCTTGTAGGATCAGTTGTACAATTTTCATGTACTGTAATATATTAAAGCTTCTAGACAGATAAGCTTTACAGAGCTGCAACTGAGCAATCCTGTACTTTAACAAATTGATAAAGGGGAACGTGGGTATTTCTTTGCATCCCTGAAGGGGAGCAAATAATTAATATTTGTGTCTGGTATGTATCTCATAAACAAGTAAACTGAGTAATCTAACTGAGGACTAAGCATGGCTAGGCAGGCAGTGTGAAGAAAAACAATTTTGCAAAAGAAAATGCAACTAATTTTGCTTCCATGGGAGGGATAACACTGGATTCAGGCTATGGAAAAACAACTATTAGACCGTGGATCACAAATTTTTGTTGCTTATTCTGTGAGATTTGCAATTTCATAGCATAGTTCATAGGAAAATATGAAAACAGCCATCCCCACAGCTGTCTACATAGAAATACTGCATCCTTCACAGAGGTAATAAATATTTCACCCATAGCTGTTGCTTAATTCTCTTTAGGATATTATAAACCATTACTGTGGTGAGATGGACTTTGTACCAACATTGTGGAAGGCAAGAGTTAAATGCATCCCACACTTACAAAATTCTGCAAACCTCTAAGATCTGTGTGATGTAAGGATAAAACTGTGATTCCACCTTAAGGAAGAGAAAGAGCAGACACATACTGTTTACTCTCCTCAGTTGCCTTCATGATCTTTTTCCTGGGGAAAAGAGCTAAAAGGATTTTTACTCTTGTCTTTTACATTTCAAAAGATGACCTTTCTTGCAGCAGGCCAGGATAGGAGAGGCAATTGGGCCAGGCAGTCTACCATGTAATGACCCCAAACCAGAATGCTGAAGCCTTTCCTTGGTTAGTCACCCTTACTACAACTAAAGGGAAAGGAGTGAATGGGTAAGCCTCATCTTACTCTCAAATAGCATTAGAAGAAAGAAAAAGTCAATTTTGATAAAACTAATGTGCCTTTTTGCATAGAGGCCTATAATTATTGGTAGAAATTGAATAGAAAAATCATACGTCTATTTGCATCTTCTCAGGACTGAAAGAAAATACATGAATCATTGAGTGCCACAGTCTGCTCTTGTGTCACGCCTTTTGTTAATCAGATGGATCAATGATAAATTGAATTATTTGGTTTTGTTGCTCAAAGTCAGACTACTTTGACCATCGAATAATTCTAAGGTCTGGAACTAATTCTGAGAAAATATATAGGGGTAGCAGAATATATTGTCTTCTGATTATTAGTATTGTTCTTCTAGTGACCAGCCAGATTACTTTCTGACCAGTTTGTACCTACTTAATCTTCTTTGAAACCAAGCATAGTGATAGTGATCATGGGAGGCATAACATGACTTGTTACATTTTCTGCATTTATATTATAAGCTGAACTGAGAAATAAAGGAAGTCTGTAAAAATAAATAGGAAAAATCTTGATTAATTTATTCACTTTTCTATTCTTAGCTATAAACCATTACAAAAAAAAAAAATATTGTTTCCATGGACCATAAGAATGCTGAATTCTATGAAAATAAAAATTAAGCATTAAAAGAAATTATGAGTTAGTAATATCTGACATTTCTTATCTGGTCAATTAATGATTAATTTTAAAATTTGTACATTTTTTTTTCTTTCCTAAAGAGAAATACATTCCCAAATAGAAGGTCATTTCAATCAAATAACTAAAACTTGAACAAGCAACTAAAATTGGAAAATGTTAAAGCATAATACTTTAATGAGTCTTTTTTTCCTTCCTGTGTAAAACAAAGAAATTCGTGAATACTTACATTTCTCCATCTATTCATATTATTTTCAACAAAACTTAAAAACAAAAGAAAAGTTTTCATTAGAAAATTCCCAGCCAGTTGTTACCAATTGCATAAATAGAGACAGCTTTTAGAGAAAAGCACATTACCATCAACAGCAAAAATGTAAAAATAAGCAATTTTTTAAGGCTTTGGAATTTGTAGATTCTTATGTTTGCTGAAGGTTAGCACTTCTGCTAAAGTGGATCAGGTATCATCTATATTGAAGTGAGTTTAAAATGTCCTTTATTACTCCTAGATCAACGTCAATGAGTCACACTTTATTACTCACTCAACACTGGGTCAGAAATTCAGAACAGGGTTGATAAAGATCTGTGATTTCCTTTAAAAATTCTCCTGTTTTTACTGGGTCTAGATCAGAGCCTGGTACAAGATATTGCAAACACTTTGATTCCTGCTTTGACACTTTGATGTTTCTGAGACAGTTATGCCTATTCTAATTAAATATTTGCCATACTGTTATCAGTGTAGACTATAATATTTATGTTTCCCCATAAATAGGTTCTGACATAATACAGAGCGAAAACTCAGAGTGTTCTTCATCCTCCAGATCTTACACAAGCTACTGAGCTATGGAACCAGGGTTTGTAGGTTGTTTCAAAATGAGGTATGGAAAAATAGAGGGAGCCAAGATTCATAATTGATAGATAATGTCTGAGGCATTAATCTGTGAAGTGTATGCATGTTTTCAATTAGTTCCAAATGTTTTTCATGCAGTTCAGTACATGCGATAGGTTAGCTTGGAAACTTGTACACCCTTTCAAACAGACATGCTTTTCAGGACAACTCAGACAATTTGAAACTGAGGAAAATAAACAAGTAAAGGAAAGGAGGAAAACTTAAGAACATGCTAGTTATTATGATGGAGTAAGAGTAAGGCATAGTGGCTCACAGATCCCTTCTGATTATCAAACCTACCTTCTGACTGTGCACACTTCTTTCTCAAAAGTGCAGGACACCTTTACAAGAGCACTTTTGCATGCTCTTGATCACCATCTATACCTATATAACCCCATCCCAGACACAAGGATACAAAACAAGTTTTGCTGTTGCCTTTGAAACAGAGTACCCTGAGGAAGTCAAAAACAAGTCCCAAAGTTTAGACAGTAGGAAGACAGATGTGCAAGGGAAAAATAAATGCCATACCTGCTCTCTTCATAAAATCAGTTGTCTCTTGCTGTCGAGGAATTCTCCTTAGGTTCCCTATTCTATGTGTGGCTGTGTCTCTCAGCATTCACTCATTTTGTACATCATTTATCACTACCAGCACTGGGACATACACCAGTATCTGTGGGATATGTAGTATGTTTTAGATGAAAGCTCTCCCTGTTACCTTTAACAATGCCAATTGTTCTATATCCCCAGTGTTCTGCACTCATCTTTGGTGGTTAGAAAAAGCATTCCCAGCTGCAGTGGGAAAGGATTTTGAATAAATGTTAGGCAGACAGCAAACATAATATAGATAAGCTTTACATGAATTTGTATTTTAAACTCTGAATATTATAGTAAGTTTTTACATTCTTTATGTATGTCTAAATTAGGAACCTACTTCATTAATTGTCAGAAAGTATCTAAGGAAATACTTATTGTCTTAAACTTTCTTGTCAATAAAAAGTTAGGCATTTATGATTCAAAGTATTGTTGCACTAAATGGTCAAGTTTGAATTCAGGCTTGAGATCTCAGACCCAGGAGGCTCTGACATTGTAGATATATTGCTGACAGCAATCCCATCCACAATGCACTTTGGTAGAAGCAATTTTTTCCTTCTAAAGCTGTCTACATAATTTAGTGTTGCAATATGATAACTCCTCTGGCACAAATTACCCTATCTGCATCAGTCAATCTTCAGAAGTGTTGGGCATGAGGATACTTTCTTATGCATAGAGAGGTCTGACTCATCTCACCATGCTGTCCAAGCAAGCTGTCTGCAGCTGCTGTGACAGCAAGAGAAACAGATGAAATCTATAAGAAGGAGACCACCTCAGGATCTCTGTGTTCCCTGTTTGGGAATCACATGAATCCAAAGCTAAGAAGGCAGACCAGTTCCTCAATTTCTGTTCTATCCTTGTTATTGGTAGTTTCTGGAGGCATCTTAGATGGGAAACTACAAATACATGTTTTGGCAGACAATGTCACAGAGGCATTGTGTTCACCTTTACCCTTTTAGTGACAGTTTTGGAGGACAGAGATGAGCACTCAATGGCAGGGTCCCATGATTCCTGAAATATGCATGCTTACTTGAATGGTTTGGATAATAAGGCTGAAAACTTAGAATGAAAATCAAGCTAGGATGATACCAGAAATATTATGTTGAAGCACCTAATTTAAGGATGTACGCTCTGACTTGTTCTTTTGAGCAACTTGCCTTTTCTTATCGACACTGTGGAGTTTATTATTATCTTCATAAATGTGATGACTAAGAGCTAACATAGTGGTTGGGGTTTACAGTTGCTTAAAGACACCTCCACTGCAGAAGAATCTGCCAAAAAAATGGAATTTTACTCTTTTTTGTTAATTTTAAAGTTAGAAAGTTGATGAGAAGAAACTTGCTACCAACTGTTGTAAGTCCAAGAGTATTAGTCCCCTTTCCTTTGGTTTTTTTTTTCAGTTTCATTTTGTCAGAAAAATACTTGCTACAACTTTGTTCTTATGAGCTGATTTTGTTATTTCCTTGGGTTTCAATAGCTGTTATGTAACTACCAAAAGAGAGGTTGCCAAAGAGAACAGATCTTCTGCTTAACTACAATCTATTTCTCATTCTTGCATTGTTTCTCTGTATATTTGCTGAAACATAGGTCTGTCAGTCATCTAAGTGCCCATTTGCTGCTAGATCTGGAATGCTCCCCTTTATTTTCTTCCCAGGGCATGCAGATGAAAGATCATGGCATTAGATACTTTATTTAGTCTTGCTCTGAGGTGTTGCCAGGACACAACTGAGAAATGATACCAAGTTGTGCATCTAGTGCAGTTTCCATGTCCCCCACCATTGAACTTTATGTTTGTCTAAAGTCTTGGCAGATTAGTTAAGTTTTCAAGTCCATTTATCATGCAATTTATTTCAGACAGTGTCAAGTATTTTATTAATACTTAGTGCAGTGAGAAGCCTTGTGTTTATCATTTATATGATAAAATGAGATAGATAAGATATGGATTTATGCAGGGATAGAAGGAACTATTCCCAAAATAAGATGTTTACAATCACATTGTCGTCACAGGCATTAAGAAACGATTCTCAAATAGAACATTCCAAACTCACTGCACAGAAGTGGACTTTGTTGACCAACATTTGTAGAATTCAAATCTAATTGTGAAAATGGCTATACCCTTTCCCCTGCCTGTATCATTTCTAAGTTTTAATGCTTCATAAGACACTGATTTTTGCATAGCAAAATAACCTCTCTGACTTGATGGGAGTTGTTAGTAATGGAGAGAATAAATGAGCATCAAGTTTCCAGTGTATTCTTAGACATTACTATAGTTCATGGCAGACAGAAACATGCTTTTTTGGTGTGATTCTGTTTTCTTACAAAAATGTTCTTCAGTGTTTCAACATCTTACAAATATTGCGACCAGAAATTTATACAAATCATTATTTACAAATTAAATACACATTGATTATATACTGGGTTTTAACTTATACGTGTGCTTGATATTCCACAAGACTCATCTGTTAAAAAAAAAAAAAAAAAAAAAAAAAAGTTTTAATTAAATTGAAAAATCTGGATTTATTGTCAGTGAAGAGCAACCATTTAATTCCAGCAGTTCTTTCATGGGTTTATGGGCTTCTAGAATCATTACATTGGTATGAGAGATTAAGAACATCTGGTGGAGACAATTCGTATTACCTGTATGTTAAAAATACAATAAACAACGTATGTTTCAGATCAGGTTCTGTTTGGTCATATGAGCATTTATCATGCAAAACAAATCTTGGGACATTAGCATTAATAAAAAAAAAAAAAAAGGAAAAAGTCTTTTGATACATGATATTTACGGTACTTATTTATCTACATTTTTCTGCTTTGATAATAAAATGGTTTACAGATGACTCCAGCTTATTTCAGATTCACAGTTCAGTTTGCTTTTAAAAAATACTGCTTTTGTCTGTGGTTCATAAAGAATCTGAGACCTGGATTTACTCCCTGAGAAAATTCTCCTGGATACTTTTTCTGGAAGAATGGTTTAGGAGCTATTCTTTTTTTTAGAAGACTGATAGAGATTTCTGTCATCCCTTATTAGTTCTAACCTGCAGTATTGTTTCTTCTAAACTTCAGTTTATGTGTGATGTATACATACTTCACATTTATATTATTCAATAGTCAATATTTATTTAGTATTTTTTGCTATTGGTACTATTCACTAGTACTCCAAAACATGTTTATGTAATAGTAAATAAAACAACATAAGAGCACTCCTATTATAATGAAGGATGCTTATACACACAGGAAGGCACATCCTATCCTTCAGAAGTTGCAGAAAAAAGGGCAAGACAGCTAGATGGTGAGAGGAGGAAAACTGACTTCTACAGATGCCAAGACATAAAGACAGAAATAGACACAGGTCCCTTAAATGCTCATCTAGTGACCTGCCCCTTATTTTATACAGTTTTACTTTTTCCAAAAACTTAGAGTGAATATTCATCTGAATACTCAAAAAGTCAAAAACTCCAAGCTGCAGTGTTTTAAACTTGGTTTGGAGATAACATTCCTGAGCCATAAGGTGTTACTGTCTCTGAAAGTAATTTTGATTGGAGTCCTTGAGTGGAAACCTAGCTTTTATTGTTAAACACCAGTTGACTCATGAGGAAAGCAAACTGCTTAAGAAACACTTGTATGGACACACAGCACCTATGTAATCTTTCTACAGATATAACACAATCAATTCACATGACCTATAACCTCTCATTCTTTGACTGACAAAGAACGCATCAGAGCAAGAATATATTTGAACGTTGTCTGCTTGCCTGACCTTGCCAGCACTGGTGCTTAAGTCCTGAATCAGTTCAGAAGAGCATCATGACTATATATGAACATGTCCAAACTACATGGGCTCAGCTAGGCAGTCTAATTAGACCAACAGTTTTATTGTTCCTCAAATTGTAAATCATGAGTGTGGTGCAGCTTTGCTCAATCGTATTGACCTTCAGACTCTGAGGCTCCTGCTGTCTAAGGGGTAGAGGGACTACACTGACAGTAACAAATGAATGCTTACTTGCACATTATTTTATGTTTCCCTTCTTATGACTCACCCCCTTGCACTGTTTACATTTACAAAATTGCAGCAAGGTTTACCTTCTGTTAGGAGGTTTTGGATTTTTTTAATCTTCTTTTTCTTTTCAAACTCATTTCAGATTCAGAATCTGTTAAAGTCCATTGTTTTAGAGGAGTTTAAGTGGTAAAAGGAAAATGTTAAATGGTTTTCACTGGAGAGCTTTCCTTTGTGTTTCTGTAAGTGAATGTCAATTTTGATTATTTCATTTAAGTGGCTGTTGCAGAACTGAAGCACCAGCAAAAAGAGGAGGGGTATCTGTAACCAACCATCTAAACTGTACCACTGATATTTTCCTTATGTACTTATCTGTAGTTTCAAAAAAATTTTTTGATACCCTGAATCTTCCCAGTTGTTCATTATGGCAGATACTGCAGCTATCTGTGTGGCAACCAATATAAGAATATGGCTTGTTGGTCTTCCTTACTGAAAAAGACACAGACAAGCCCCACAAGCCATTTATATCCTGTGCAGTGTCTCAGAGAGCCTGTCAGGTAATATCATGGAAAGTTTCTGATCACTGATACTATAGTCTGTTGGGAGTCTAGGTGTTGACATGAATACTTTACTATTTTCTTTATGATCTTCAAAGATAAATGATTATTTGGCTACTTGTGGCTTTAAATTTCCACTGCCAGATGAAGGGGTTAATATATTTCCTTTTTTTGGTTCAAACACAAAATTGTACAGTGAAGTATTTAGAAAGAGAGCAGCAAGCACAGCCTTAGAAAAACTAAGATATGATTTTCCTCACTTATTTCTTTAATAGAGACATCAATCTCTTTGTCATGGTTTTGTTGCGATACTTCTATAGAAAACTTTTTTTTTCCCCAGTATGATTTACTTTTATTCTAGGGAAACTAAAAAAAAAAAAAAAAAACCAGCAAAAGAGGAATTGTAAAATGCAGCTTCCCAACTGAAACACTAAATGGGAGCTGTTTCATCAGGGATTATGCTGTTTTTAAAGGCGCAGTGAACACCCAATACTCATTGTCTTGTGCTATTTATAA